TCAGTTTAGCGTATCGTGAATTGAACCGTGGAAAAATATACCGCGATATACCGTCAAACGGTTTATCGTTGCACCCTTACATGTACCAAGTATTCAGTAAATATAAGATTACCTTTCTTATCATCAGCTGGTGCAGCAGCTGCCGCGGCAGGAGCGGCCGCTGGGGCAGCTCCGGCTCCGCTGGAAATGTTGGAGATCATCTCTTTCACGTTGACGCCATCCAAAGCCTTAGCAAACAGTGCTGTAATGCATTAAATTTTAAATCAATAATCCTATTTCTTTCATAAAATATCAATTTTGTCCAAATAAGCCTACCATTGTCGCAATAAAATCACTGCCTAAGATTGACATAGATGTCACTTTAGATACAGAGGATTCCGGGTATAATGCTTGGGACATATCTTGTTATAACCGATATTTATTATAAAGCTGAGAGTTGATCAGAATTTTAATAAAGACTTTAAAATATCATTGAGCACATTCCTGTGAAATAATGTTTATATGATAAGGAATTAAAAAGGTGTATTAAAATACACTTTAGTCGAAAAGAGTAAATAATGTATCTAAAAATTGTGTACAATTGTACATAGTGCATGTATACATGTCTAAGGACCTCTAATAATAAACAAGTCAAAAGTTTGCTACATGTACTTTTTAATAACTTAAGGTAGTCATTGCACTGCACAATATCACCAGGCTCAAACACATAGTTCCATTTCTAAATTTTAAACAGGGCTGCTGTTATAATCTGTAGGCTCTATTATAAATCAGTATTGCTAAGGCCAAAAAAAATAATAGTCGTTTCCTGCTACCCGACCTACCCTATTTTTTGCACCCGACCCTGAAGTTTTTCTTTAATTTGGAAGAAAAAAAAATTGGGATTTTCTGGAATTTCAACATTCTGTCACCTTAATCGGTTTCTGTGTTAACACAAAACAAGCATTTCATGAAATTCTTGTTTTAAACATGGACTTTCATAAAATACCACTTGAGTTGTGCATAAAAAGACATGAAATTTAATTTTGCAAGACAATATTGACCTGTGACATGTTTAATTTTATCTTGTATTAGTTCATATCCAAAAAATGTTGTCGGAAAAAAATAAAATAAAAATATAAAATAAAATAATTTTCCTACCTACCTACCCTATTTTTTTCAGGCTGGTAGCAGGAAACAATACTATTATTTTTTTGGCCTAATTATAGCTTCATGTGCTGCCCAAGTAAGTTCTGTAACACTGCCAAGTCATGTAATTTTGTAAACAGCATGTTTTCTGTGTCATTGAAATCATCAGGCCAATCAATATTCTGAGGCTGCATTTTTCACAGGTTTTTCAACCTCCAACTAGGGTCATGACCCTCTTTTGAAAGTAAAAAAATCTGGTCATAACACGACATTCATAGCATATTTACCATGATGATATTACATTTCATATTGCATATATACAAAAAGCACTTGTGTATTGAGAATTATTATATTGAAAAGAAGTTTTGTAACAATGGCAAAATTTTAATGTTTAATGAATTAAATTTATTGATTCAATTTACATGATAAAAAGGCATTGATGGTTTCATTGTTTAGAATAGAACTGAAGTAAATGTGTGTTTGTCTTTTTAAATACTGAAAGTCCTTTCAGAATCTGCATTGCTGTTTGGAAGAACAAGAGAAATTTGAGTTAATAAAGAAAGTATTAAAATCAGGGACTTATAAATGTCCCTGCTCAAATCTTGGTTTTGAAGATAATTTTTATCTCTAGACAAGTGCAACTTAGATGTATATACAGTTAGCCTCGTACTATCTTCAATCACTTTATTTTATCTAATGAAAGTTCTCCAAGATTCTTTGATGTGTACATAAACATTGTTTTTTTTCTTTTTGTTGCTGTTCTCCCTTCTGGCCCTGATAACGATCTCATTCTATCTTAAGCCATTTTATAATGACTTCAAACTTGATTTGTCAAAACAACTCCCAGATCATAGTCATCAGCATTGTTTATGTCGCTTGGGTTGATGTTAACGGGAAATGACATATGACAACTAATACATTCTATTTCCACTATGAAAGAGTTAAACTTCTTAGTGCGCTCTTTTGTGAAAAAGTCGGAAAATGTACAAATCTCGCGGGATTTCTGGGACAAACGTAACATAAACATGTAAACAATATGTTGAATGTCGATGAACAATTCCTAAGAAAATGCAAATGAAATATTTTATTGATGTGGACTTTATATACATCAAGAGTAGGAATGACAACGATATTAATTTATATCTATTGTTGATGGTATGTATCTATTTATCGTATGGTACATCTAAATACAATACACATGCCTCAGAAATGTCGTATTTTTATTAATGGATGATAAATTTAGGGTTCTCGCTCTCTTACATATGTCTTTTAGTTCTTCCATTCTTTAATTGGAATGACAAATACATTTAACATTTAAAATTGGATTGAAATTGGCATGTTTTGTATTATCTGCAATGCCATGATGTCCCAGTCAGACGACCAAACGCGCCTCTAATTTTGAAGAGTTCACTAATGGAAATAGAACGAATTCACAAACCAAATTCAGAAATTTTGGAGATTTTCAGGTTGCTCACCAAAGAGCGGGTGAAAAGCATGACCTGCCATATCATGAAAAATAATGAGGTTTAGGGTCAAAAATCGGGTGTGACCCAACAAAATTGGGTGAGTTGGCAACTATGTTTTTCAAAATTTTCCTAAATGTGTTTAACTCTTATCTATAATCCTTTGTAATTTTACTCTAAAGTTTTCAATCTTCTCTAATTACTTCTTCTTTTTTCTCATATAAGTTCACCTTTCCCATCCTGTACCTGGTCACTACAAACCTATGTAACTTATAATAATATCTGATAGCTCATTCTAATAATCAGGCCAGATTAGCAGAATCTTGTTGCATGTGATCGCGCTTAAACTGGCGTTTTTATAAAGGAAATGCTTAAGAAATGCTTTGGGACTGAAATTCAAAATTCATCTTGTTGTAAGCAGTATCTTACTCCATTCAAACTCACAATACCCGGAGGCCACTGTAGATCTTTTACTAGAGTTGCAGCAAAGTTTGAAGTATTTCTGAGGAAAATTTCAAGCTTTCCCTTCAGTTCTAAGACCAAGTAATTTCTTATCCCCTTTCATTACCAATTTGCTGCCTATATTTTCCAATAACATTAAATGAAATGCTGCATATTTTTGCCGTAATATCTATAAAGTTAAAAAATGATATTTAATACTAATAATAAAAGAAAGAGTAGTCTTGATCATAAGGCCAAAAAAAATAATAGTCTTGTTTCCTGCTACCCGACCTACCCTATTTTTTTGCACCCGACCCTAAAGTTTTTTTTAAGTTTTGGAAGAAAAAAAATCGAGAATTTCTGGAATTTCATCGTTCTGTCACCGTAATCAGTTTTCGTGTTAGCAAAAAACAAGCATTTCATGAAATTCTTGTTTTAAATATGGACTTTCATAAAATACCACTTGAGTTGTGCATAAAAAGACATGAAATTCAATTTTAAAAGACAATATTGACCTGTGACATGTTTAATTTTATCTTGTATTAGTTCATATCCAAAAAATGCTGTCAGAAAAGAAATAAAATAAAAATATAAAATAAAATAATTTTCCTACCTACCAACCCTATTTTTTTCAGGCTGGTAGCAGGAAACAAGACTATTATTTTTTTTTTGCCTAATCAGTCTTTAATTCATACTGGTTGTTTGCACATATCCTACATTTGATTTCATTAATGCTTTTAATGTGATTGCATATAGTTAATTAATAGTATACTTAAAGTCATTATCTACTTACAAGGCCAGTAAGGTTCAACAGAGACTCCAGCAGCTTTCAAGATGGTGGTGATTTTCTCCCCCTGATAGAAGAAACGTAAAAGAATTACTTCAGCTCTATTAATGTTACTGTCATTGCACAATTAAATTACCATGTGGCTACGTTCGAATTTCCTCTGCATATCAAATTCTGTTCGACATACACATTATTCTCGAACCACCTTTTCTACATTTTTTCAACTAACTGTTACAAAATTTCTTTTAAACCTCAATTTACAATGAGTAAAAAAGCAAAAACACCGAAATCACCATCGAGTAAAGGTATACCTACATATAGAAAGGGGGGCTACTTACTGTGATCGCTACTTGATCGTCTGCGAGAATCAGAGCTGCATAAACGCAAGCAAGTTCGTCTGGAGAAGACATTGTAATTACTTGTATTGGTTTCGTTACTTGATGCCTAAGTATAACAGTGTAAGTCGCCGGATTGGCCTTAGCTCTTTTTGAGAACTGTACACTTTACGAAGGAAATTTGCGGAAGAGGCCGGAAGTAGAGTTGGTAACGGGACGTTTCGCCCCTATTGACGTTTCGCACCGAGACCATTCGCCCCTAAAGACGTTTCGCGCCGAGACCTTTCGCGCCCAATTTAATCTACATTGTCTACAACCATATATTACGATGTTTTAAGATAAATATTTATATATAAGGTTAATATTGACTGTTAAAAAAAAAGTTCTAAGGTTATTAAAATACTTTTATGTCTTAAAAGTTGTTGAAAATAGGCTTATACCATAATTAAATGTATAATTATCCATGTGCAGATATAATTATATTTATTCAGCAATCATAATTGTCTGATTCAGTTTTGTAATTAAGGTGTTATAACTATAATTTGCTGTTAACAAGTGATAATTACCACATAATTGATTAATTGATCTTCGGCGCGAACCGTCTTGGGGCGAAACGTCTCAGCGCGAATGGTCTTTCGGGGCGAACCGTCCCGCACTCGTAGAGTTAAGCCAATAAATGTTAAGATTTAAAAAAATATTCATGATAGTCTAGGAGCTTGCAATAACATAGAATGCACAATTTTAGTTTTTGGTTTAAGTTTCCTGAATTAGATAAAGTTATTTGATTCTTTAGTTTTCAATATTTGGTTTAGAGATTATTTGGGAAACTATATAATCCAAATCCGGTATCGATTCATTCCGGCAAACAACTGTCAACATGCAAAACGTGTACATCTTTGTTTTTACAATACTTTTTTCTCTAGTTTTATCTGATTCGGATCATGGGGATGCAGTTATCAGTTACACGTCAGAGAACTTTGATGATGCTTTAGACAAAGCTAAACACTTTGTTATGTTTTATGCTCCATGGTAAGATAAGCATGACTCATTCGAATTTCCTCAGTTCAATTTATGTATTGTTGCCTTTATAATGAGCTGGATGAATATTTCATCAACTTATTCATTTTAGTTTTTACTCTGGAAAATTGATCCAGTGAAAGTTAAACTTACTGCATGTTAAGAGTGACTGTATAAATTATATAAATATTTTTTTTTTACGTTGGCTCCTTTCTCAAGTGAGCTCTTGTTAACAAGATTTGACCATCTTCGTCTGTTTGTTTACCTTTAACTGATTTTAACTTCTTATACAGAACTAATAAACTAAACTTGGTTAAAAGCATTATGGATCAAAAGGGTTCAAAATTGTTCAGATAAGTCTTGGCCCATAGCTACAATTGTATCATCAATAAACCACCCATGTGAATTTAATACTTAGTATTGCGATTACCTCACAGCTATCTAACTTAATGCCGCTCTTTTGTGGCAAAGTCGATGAAACTCTAAATCTTGCGAGATTTTCAGGGCATGAAGTACTTACGCTAGTGACAATCGAATGATTTGAACAATTAGCATGCCGAAAGTACAATGTATTGCAAAGGGCTGAACTTCAAATAGTAGGTTGTCTAATTGGAATGTTTAGAGTTTTATTTTATCAGCTTCCAAAAGTAACTATTATCAGAAAGAAATGGTTTAATTTAATTAGAAGAGTCGGCTTAGTGAAAAAGTATCAATAAAAATGTAACACATTTGGACTAGGTTCTCTTGAAATTTATTAGTGTGGTTCAGCGAATGTTCCGCAAGATGTTTCACCAGGACTTCTTTCGGAGTTATTATCACTCTTAATAAGAGGTCAACTCCTTACTGGAAGAAGAAGAAAAAAATATCTGCCCTTTAAAAATCCACAATGCTTGATCTCGCGTTGTATGCAACAGCACATTGCCCCCAGCTAATAGACGTTTCCTACCTTCACTGCGAAAGAGTTCCATTAAGTTAAGTAATCGTGATATCAAGTATAGAGTTAACCCCTCCATTAGAAATAGTGAGTCTGGAATCTGACATGTAGAAACTTATTTATTACCAGTGTACCATTAGCTAGGGGACAGCAATGTGACTTGGGCTCAGAACCATCAGATATAAATTAAATCCACCTAGGGTTGGATACCATTAAGATTGAAACGGTACGATACCATACCAGTATTTTTTTAAACGATACAGTAATTTGAATGATACGGTACTATACCTTGATGAATGAGAATGAGGGTTCATTTTATAACAATGTGCTTTTCACCAGTCACCAACCTTTCAATGTTATAATCTAAAATGAGCATATAAACTATGTTTATATTTCAACCTATTAACAAATGATCAACAAAACAAATAAATTGAATCTCAAACAAATTAATTTGACTAGATACATAATCACAAGTATACACGACCTCCCCACTTCACCCGGTTGCCAGAACCCAGTTTGTTTGGTCGCACTAAACGACGACACATTACAAAATAGATCGAGATGCTGATCACATTTTTGCGACATTTTGCCTTTTTAATTTACAATGGAATTATTATCAGTTTTTATTATTAAATTAAATTAAATCAACGATTAATATGAATTTATTTTAATTTTTAAAGAATACACACATTGATTTACCTCGAATGTCGGCAGTATCATACTAAGCATCCATTTCGTTAATTAGCCTACCCTTTCAATGCACACCGAATTCCATTTTAGCAAGTCTGGAATCTTTTTTTTTCAAATCATTTTGAATATATTAAAATGTTTCAAAGATTAAGAAATACCATTTTAAGTACATGTATTAAAGGAAACGGTATTTTACTGGTATTTTTAAAATAACTATTCGGTATGGTATTGGTACAGAGTACTGGTATCCAACCCTTAATCCACCAATCTACCAAAGGATTTAACAATACGACTGAAGTATATCATGATAAATCATGATCCACTGAGATTGTATTACTGTACAATACATCACCTTTCATAAGTTTTTATGCAAGTTGTGTCTCTCTGTTTTTAAATGGGATTGAACTATCTATCATAATATTAATGGATAAAAGATGTAGAAGTTTATTATGATATCAGAAGTAAATAAGGAAAATCCTCTTTACCCAACTAAAACAAAATAATGCAAAGACCTCATATTCATCAGATGCCATCTTTGTAAACAACTGATAGAGGGTCATTAAATCACAAATGCTTCATTTTTACAAGTGTCATAGTAAATATGTTCAGCATGAAAAATGTTAAGCTATTACTTATATTTCAATAGAATATATCAAATGAAATCCAATATAAAATGCTGAAATGTGATATTTCGAGTTATATAAGGGCTGGTGTATGTTTTTTGTACCCTGATACAATTTGATTTTTGATGTACAATATACTGAGTAATGAATAATCTGGAAAATTTTAATGATTGATCATTAATTATAATTAAACCGAATCAATCAATGATTGAAATAATCCAAAGTTAACAAAATTATTTATACTTGGCTTTTTATTGCTGTATTTTTTGAGGAAAAATACAGGAACAAACTCGTTTACAAAGAAAAATCAAAAATGTTATAGTGTTCTTTTCACTGCTACCATTTTCACTGTCCATTTTATTTTGTGTATAAAGGAACAAGAAAACTTGTACAGAAGTATGTTGTTATGCTTATCTTTAGCGACATTTGATTATGAATTTTCTAACTGATATGCCAATAATGATTGGCAATCAATTATTGGCAACAAATTTTTCATCATTTATTCCAGTATATTGTTTCACCTCTATTGACTGAGATAGGGGTAAAATCTTGTAGCTGGTGATAATAAAGCTTGGCCCGACTTCTTCAGATACATGTGATAGTTATGTTAACTCCTATTACACCAGTAGTGGGTGAAATCCCCCCTCCCCCCAAAAAACATGTTTATATGTAAGAGAATGTTCTGTATGCTCATCCAGCAAATTTCAAGGATTTGTCACATATTGATATTTGAGGTCTTTTGATGATAAATATATTCATAAAATCCTTGTTAACCAAGCTTATGTATATATTATAAATCTCAGCATATGCATCAGAATTAGTAATAACGTTCTAGAGGAAGTTACTTTCTTATCTGAATCTGAATATTAAATGTATTTGTTTTTACTTAAATTGTCAAATGTATGAAAAATAATGGACCATGTAGGGCTTGAAGAAGGTATTGTACAGTATATAGAATATACAGTATTCCTTTGTCAGTGAGGAATCATGTGACCATGGATGAGCAATGTGCTCCATGCTCTTGTTTTACAAAGTAGATTAATGTTGGTGAATTACCTAAATCATGTCATTTTTTTCAACGTTTTCAAACCTATTCAGGCTACACAGCTAAATCTGTTTCAAAGAACCTAATAGAAATGCTTATTTGATACAAGTCTAAGTTCTAATGAAAATTTGTCCTAGTAAAATAAGATGATCATTAATTAATTTTATCTTCATTACATTTTCTGACATATACTTGTATAATATGCAAAGTACAATTAATTAAGAAAAAAGTGGACACACAAAAACCATCATGAACTATATCATCAAAGATGTAAAAGCCTTTCATAAATAGGAATGTTTAAATTAGATGTAACATAAAATTTTTCCTGAGAATACTAGTAAAGTAAATGTAAAGCATTGATGTGAGTGTGAGACATTGCCAGTAAGAATTGTCAATTTGGAAAATTTAGCATTGAGTGAACAATTGTTCTAGTTGAGAGAAAAAAAACCCAATATCTTTAAACCTTTGTCACTGGTATTGATCTTTACAGAAAAGGGATTACAGAAAATTGTAACAGCTTTTTAAATGTCTTTTTAAACTGTATTAAGTCACTCGATCCATAAGTACTTTACCCTTGTTATTGATTCTGATAACTGTGCTTTATTTTCCTATGATCTCCAGTGAGAGTGGTATGACATATACATAATAACCAATAGGGAATGAATTCATATAATAATCCTCTTGTACATGTTGTAAGAGAACCACAATAATAGACTATTGCAATATGAATAACAAAAGTCACCCCAAACTGATCATGATGTCAATGGTGTAATATTATAATTAGAATTTTGCAAATTTTCAAAAAAATTATCATTTTTGTTTCCATGGCAATGTTGGCAATTTAAAAATAAATAAATAAATAAATGTTGCATGCACAATTACACTTGGTGATTGAGTATCAATACTGTGAAGAATCATTAAGATTGATCAGGCCACCTGCAGGAACTCTAAGACTTGTAGATAAAATAAGTGGGAAAAAAACAATATATCACCTGACTTTGTTCAATGTGACGTAATAATGAAATTAAAATTTCCTTATCCTCACAAAGTCAGGGGGTCATGAGTCCACACGTGGTCCTGGGACCCCTTACACTTCATTCAATATTTTTAAGGCAGACTGCAGTGACAACTTTTGGGGGAAATTACAAATTTTGATCGTTTTTCTTAGCTCCAGACCAATTACATTAAGCCTTTCAATGAAAAACAATGATTGTTTACATTTTCTGTCAATAAGAAAGCCTTATTTGATTGGTGCTTCAAGAAACAAGTTGATAAAAAATCAAATGAAGTTTGTCAGGGGTCCCACAACAATGTGTGGACTTAGGACCCCTGACTTTGTGTGGGTGAAATTTCCTCTAAATCCTGATCATTATATTTATACCTTAAATCTGCCATCCTGTCTGTGGATGGATTTAAGGACTGTGCAAAATTTAATATACATGTCTCCATTTATCGAACATAGTAGACAAGTCATAATGTGTTTTTAGCTCTTCTGAGCCAAAGGCTCAAAGAGCTAATGCTATGGCCATTTGTGCGGTGTGCGTAAACTTTTTAGAATATGGGCCATAACTCAAGAACCCCTTGGCCAATTATTGTCAAATTTGTCACAGGGTATCCTTGGTCCAAGGGCTCCCTTTTATACTAAAACTGGGGTTGTGACCCTTTAACAAGGGGAGATAATTAGGAAAATAGAAACAAAAGTACTGGTTGCTAAAAAATC